CCCCAAAACCCCAAAACCCCAAAACCCCAAAACCCCACATAAGAATAAATTAATTGAAATTATTTATCTAATGTCACTCAAAGACTTTGAAGTATTAAAAACAATAGGTAAGGCTCCTGTCCTAGCCAGCAGCCTTCGTGGTCTCTTGTGTGGTGGCTTGGGAAGTCCTGTTGGGAGAAACCAAGAGATTTTCTGTGCTGGATTTTGGATAGAACTTGTAGTACAGATTTCAAAATCATTAGAATAAGGTTTTGAAACTGTTGTTGGATGAATGGAATTTGGGAACCCCAGAATGGCATGACTGATTATTTTATAGGCGAAGGGTCTTATAGCAAGGTTTATAAGGTCAAACGTATATCAGACAATGAGATTTACGCACTCAAAAAGGTATGAGTCCCTTTAGTGGGTAACTTAGGTCTTTATTTGTTTAAAAATCACTAAAATTTACATCAAATATAGGTGAAGATCAACGGACTTAAAGAGAAGGAGAAATAGGTAAATTCTAACATTTTGTACTTGGAAAGGAAGCTTGAAGGTTTTGAGCATCTCGAAAGCAATTTTAAATAGAGTCATGCAATTTTTTGATATGGTTGTAGAGCTTAGAAGATACTAGTAGCCAGTTTAAATGACTTTACATTTCTAAGAAATAAACACTTTTTACGAATTACCTCGCAATAATTTGGAGATAATTTCATTAGGAACGCTTTCAACGAAGTCCGAATCCTAGCTTCGATCAACCACCCAAACATAATCGCTTACAAAGAAGCCTTCTTCGACGAAGCCCTAAACACCCTCAACATCGTAATGGAATTCGCTGACGACGGCGACCTCGAAGAAAAGATCAAGCAGAAGACGAAGAGTGGGGATCAGTTCGAAGAGAAGGAAATTTGGAAAATTTTTGTACAGTGATTGAAGGGCCTGAAGTGTTTACATGCAGCTAAGGTTTTGCATAGGGATTTGAAGGTAGGAAGAGGGGATTGGGAGGGGTGGGGGAGTTCAGTTGGAAATTGTGGGGGTTGTGACCAAATTTTGATGATATATCTTGGTTAGAGTTGTTTTTCATGTTGAAGGGAAGCTATAAGAGTCAATGCTCTTTTGAAGATTCTGGATGTTGGTTATTTATATAAAAGTTGAAGTAGAGAGTGCTTTGTACTTTCAAAGAGTTCTTATTTTTCTTAACTTTAATCAAAATATTTACTTAATCAAAACTTTCCCAGGATTGTAATTTAAAATTTCATTGGTCTCTGCATCTACCTTTCAATGTAAATTATAACTGACTTTTTCATAGTGAGCCAATGTATTTATGTGCAAGGATGGTACTGTCAAGTTGGGAGATCTCAATGTTTCGAAGGTAGCTAAGAATGGCATGGTCAATACACAGACTGGAACCCCTTATTATGCTAGCCCTGAAGTATGGAAGGATAAACCATATGATGATAGGTCTGATATTTGGTCATTAGGGTGCGTTATGTATGAAATAGCAACTTTAAAGCCTCCTTTCAGAGCTAAAGATATGAAAAGTTTGTATATGAAGGTCATAAGAGGGTACTACCCATCTGTTCCGACAAGATATTCGACTGACCTTGCAGAGGTGATTCAAAAATGACTCAAAACTTCACCAGTAAAGAGAGCAACTGCTCATTCTCTGATGGAATCTGATGAAATTCAAGAGCATAAGAAAGAGCTAGATCAGGATTCTCAGATAATTGACCATATTCCTGCCACTCTAAATCTATTAAGCACCATTAAGTTGCCTCGTAAGTTACTAGATATCAAAAAGAGGTTGCCAAAGTCCAATTACTGCACTCCAGTGATTTCAAGGAAGAAGCTCAATGACATAAAGATAGCAAAAGGATTGCCAGAGATTTTTGACACCTCCTTTTCAAGGTTGTCTTCCAAAAGACCCAAGCCTTCTGAGGCATATGACTGTATTTCTAATTCCCAGCACCCAAAAAGTATTGAGCCTCCCAAGACTATGATCCCAAGTGCTAGGAATAGAATATACAAGAGAATGATGAACCAGAACAGAATCAAAGATGTTGGAAATGACTGTACCGATAAGATCAGGCTACCCAGAATTCAGAGAGGGAATCCAAAGAATCAGCACCATGGCTCAGTGAATTACTCATATAGGTCTCTTAGCACAGAAAAGAGAGGAGTCTACCCATATAGCTAAGGCCTTGGCTTGTTTCAGATTATAAAATACTGATTTCCTTCATCTTTATTTGAAGTTTTATTCTCCAGCTGTTCAGCAAGTCAGCCTTAAAACGGGGTTTTGGGGTTTTGGGGTTTTGGGGTTTTGGGG